TTTTGTATTCACAAGTTTCTTTCAAATACTGCATGCAGTCACACAATATTAACATATTAGGATTTTATGACCATGTCTTCCCTTATACAATTGTTATGTGTTTTGACTTAGAAACACGATTTATATTCTAAAAGTTTACAATTTCATACTTAAAATACACAATTTATACGTTATTTATGACTATGATCTGCTTAGCAAGGTGGACTTTAGTCCATGGTGTAACAACTCCCACCACCTACTCCCAGTAAACACATGATTGATACAACGACAAATAAGTTATGTTAATTGAGAAGGATAATAGAGATGGAAAATGTAATTCGCCGTGCAATGACCTCAACTGTGATTAAGAAATTAAACATGAACTAAAGGCAGAAATAGATTGCAATTTTATTGTCAAATTATTTTATATTGTATTTCTTCAAATGTACCTGCTGCCACCAGATTCATGAACTTTTTATTCAACGTACAGCAAAAAACCATGTTTGTATCGATATTATATGTATCATATTTGACTTTGAATTGCTTTCAATCCCTTTATATATTGGACTCGGTTATTAATTTTCTCAGCTTGAATATTTATTTTTCCCATCGTGCTTCGTGTAATAATAACAATGGTCGTCGCCAATATTATGTTTGGTTAATTTTATTTAGAGTTGTTCACACGATTTGTGACCCATGAATTAACTGAGCTACCCGTACAAATATGAGTAACTTAAGTTATATATTAAACTTGTTTGTTATCTATCAAAATGGTAAAAATAGCTCTGAAAGGGATGATTTAGCTAGTGAGTGACACATAATTCTCATATTAGAGAGTTAGAGTGACACATAATTCTCATATTAGAGAGTTACATATTCGATTTTTTTCACCCTCTCAATTGAATTCATTGCACATGGTAGCTTTCTTGTGTGGTTTGCATGTTATAACATATAAGCGAGATTTAACCCCCTGCACACTCTTAATTACATCCTTCCAGATGCTCTGTCAAGTGTGGAGTCCTTGGGGTTAGGATTCAACCTTTTGGAAACAACAAGAATAATGTAAAAAATTTTCAATCATCCTAATGTCAGGAAAATCATTGAATTAAATGTGACAATGTCAAAATAATGTGAAATTAAAGTAGAATTTGCCTCATTAAAAAGTGGTTTTTTAGTATTTGAGATTGGTAAATATATATATATATATTTTTTATTTATTTATTTATTTATTTATTTATTAAAAACTAAATTAAAATTTATATTAAACACAAAAATTAATTTTAAAATTATAAAAATTTTTGATTTGACTTTTGAATAATAAGTTTGCAAGGGAGGCCACTTTATTTAATTTTGATTGTTAGTAGGATGAATTCCTTCTGAAGTTCTGTTTTAGAGCATCCACATTTGTTGGGGAGAATAGGGAGATAATGTAAGAGTGATTAGGAAAGAGAAGATGGGAATGGAGAGAAAAAAAAAAAGAAAAAAAAAAAGGAAAAATAATTTTTTTTTTTTTAAAGAAAGACTGTCAGGCGCGCCTGACGGGCGCGTGCACTGCACGCGCCTGTCAGGCGCTATAGTGACAGCCACGCGTGGCTGTCACCTGTGGCCCTTTATTTTTATTTTTGTGGTGGGTCCCACCATTTCTGAAATAACTCTTCATTTGCAGGAGAGTTATTTCACAAATAATTCTTCCCCACATTAGCTATTATCTTGAGTGGAAATAATTAATTCTGAAATATCTCCCTATTATCCACTAATGTGGATGCTCTTATAAACAATATACAACATATATGTGGTCCCTATTAATAAAGCCAACATATTACTACATATCACTTACATACTACTTTTCACTTCAAAAAAAAAAAAATGATCCCTATATTCCATATGATGCCAATACAGTACTAGTATTCATCACTTGCATAAATGATAAATCCAACAACTTTTCAATTAAAAAATGTATTACTGCTTTTTCACTTCCCAAAACAACAAAAACATCACAAACAAATGGTCCCAACTCCCATATAATGCCAACACAGTACTAAACAAATGGTTACTTCATCTCTTAAATACACAAAGCCAACTGTTTTTCAATTAAAAAAAAAAAACAAAAAAACAAAAAAAAAAAACAAACAAAACAAAAACAAAAACAAAAAACACATTACTGCTATTCGCTCACGAAACAACAAAAAACATAGAGTTTAGGCTTGGATCAAGCTTTTCAATCTCAATTTGGGATTTAATTTGCACCCCGCAAAAAAAAGCCTTTATACTATACAATTCAATAAGCTTTAAAAGTGCTATTGTATAAATAGTAGAGCAAATTCTCTTCCCAAACCAATGTGGGACAACTGCTCACATTTTTCCCTTCATTTTTCCAACTTAATGGGTCTACTTTGAGAATCATTATCTCATTCACCCATTATCCATTTTGAGCATACAATATATCAATTTCTTCATCTCACTACGAAGAACCCGAATCCACTTTGACCCGACCCAAATCAAAAGTGGATACCACTGATAATTGTACAACAAAATAGCCACTACTTAAAATGCCATTCTAATGCTATTTTTCCAACAATTAATACTTCACATTTAATTACTAAAAATTATTTTCATAAGTGTCTTACATGCATCAAGGTAGCTTTGAGCAACATATGAATGATTGTCCAAGTTTTGGGAGTGTATTGGGCTGTTTGTTAATTTTGAATTTTTATGGAGAGGGATGAGATATGTGCATATATGCTTCCTATCACGTACCACTAATTTATACTAATAAGAGAGTGGAGGTTCCATTAACATGGCCAACTAACGTGTGGAGTGGCGCAAGATCGAGGATGGTTTGCACACACTAGAGCACGTAACAAGACTCTAGATGCATGCATGCATGCATGACGTGACATCAACTGCGGCAGAATGCATGGAGACTCCACGGATGGCCAGCCGGATCATATCGGAAGTTAGTTCGGATTGAAGGTGCGCCTTTAAACTTTGATGCTGGTTTGATACCTTTTGGTAACCTCCTAAATAATTAAGTTAATTCTACAAATCTAATATGTTTAAAAGTTTAATTAGATATGCTGCCAAAAGTGTATGTATTCCTGGGATGCATACGGTAGTAGAGGCAGAGATGTTGTGCCTACGTGAAGCTCTCATTTGGCTGCGTGGAACAGGGATGGGCAACGTAGATTGTGAGATCGATTCCCATCCTTTTAGTTTAGCTTTGGTTTTTTGGTAGATGATGTAAAGCACTTATTAGCCTCTGTGATAGATGGGGCCGGGTTTGCTTTCAGTCTGTTAAACGATCTGTCAATCGTGCGGTCCATGCTATAGCACGAGAAGCAGTTTCTGTGTCAGGTCCGGGGGAATGGTTAGATACACCACCTCGTTATCTTGTTGCGATTATTACCAGTGATTTAATGAATTAAGAAGTTTTTTTCAAAAAAAAAAAAGTTTAATTAGATATTTTTAAATTTGAAGGTTTAATTGAATTCTGACATATATATAGTTAGATGCCGGATCTATTTGACCCTTATCACTATTATTATAAATTTACTATTTTTATATATAAGTTTATATATAAAAATATATAAATAATCCAGGACTTAATAATTTAGAAAATGATCCCCACACAAGAAAATAATGAAATATGAAAAATCCAAGTCATGTTTACCACACACTCTCGTTAATAAAACAAGATCTCGGGACATTTTTCGGAGATGATGTTGTTTATCCGACTAAAGGTTCTACAAATCTAGCAAATAACGATGTCTGGAGATCATTTGATCTGTGTTGTGAAATTTTACCCAGACCTTGAAGCCTAGTTTTAGTTGGTCGGGTGGTGAAATGGTAATTAAATCTCATACAAAGTAATTATAATTTAATATTTTTATTTTTATTTTTATTTTTTTCTGTCCCATTTCCTACTTTCTTGAAAATGACGGTTAATTAGGTGTCACATAAGTACTAGTACTAGGAAAGACATTTGATGAAATACGCATAACATTATGTAATGACACAGTTGAGATGTTCTTTCTTTAATTTGGCACATGGCTTGCATGTACATATATGTCATCACATGCATCATCGGCATAGCTGTACAAATTAAAGGACCACGTGAAGGTAAACTAACCTGGATCTGGATTATATATAAATAACCAAGTCGAATCAAGAAGGCTAATAAATAGTTTCTACTAAAAACAGAATCCTAAGGAGACCACTTCCTCTTTCAATTCATAAAACAAACGTTATAGTAAACATTTAATGTACAGAAGACCAAAAGGGTTAGCCAATTGGTTGGTCATTTTTCCCCACTAACAACACTATATGTTGTGCTAAACAACATTTGGTTCTGCCAAAAAGATTGTTATTAACCAACTGGCAAGCATCCTCACCTGAAAGAGATCAAGAAGTTGATATATGACATCCATGGCTACCATTGTTGCTCAAGGGGGATAACAGGACTTTATGTATCTCAATTGTGTCTACACTGCATTCCCTGCCTTAGAAGGGCAAATCTTTGCACCGTTTCAATGACTGATAGTGTTGTCTATGCGCTTTGGAGTGGTACCACTATTACTTGATTGCTGCCTTCCTCTAAATACTCCCCAGAGATAATACTTCCCTTGGAATCCTGCAAAACAGTTTTCATCAGCCAGATTAGCCATGCCATTCAAAGGATGAAGTTAAGAAAGCATTCAAATTCCTATAAAAATTGAGGCTGGACTTACTCCAGTATAGCAATGGCAGTTCTTGGGAAGTAAAAATCAAAAGCTCAGCATTTTTCAAAACTGCTTTCATTGCAACTTCCTCTCGCATCATTATCTCAACTAAATAATCAAAATTCCTTTCACATCTATGGCAAGAATTTTTTAACAAAAGGAATGTCAATTAAGATTTGATGAGAAACTTCTCACTTCATAATAGAGACTAAATCATCAAAAATCCTATAATATCTAGGATTAATAATAAATCAAATCTAATGAGAACAGACAGTAAAATGCCTAAAATATCCAAACCGTTACTTTGTGTCCGCTGGAAAGAAATACAGGGCAATATTTTCATCGGTTGGCTCTGAGGTAAGGAAACTCTTAGGCCAAACAACAGATTTGGGAAGCATCTCCAGTTTAAGCATTGGTGGAAATGAATTTGCTTCCTTGTAAACCTTTTCGTGCGCTTTAACTGATAAATGAGCTACAAGTCCATCAAAGATGTCATAATCTTTGTTGCATATTTTGAAACATCCCCTGTGAGCAGAATTAGGAAACAGTAAAAATGTTCAAATTTGCTTAGCAAAACTACACTGTATCAATCCATGAATGCTCAAAGTTAAGATCTTTACTAACTCCCAAATAACATCAATAACAGGCAGTCCTGGCTCATGGCATGCAGCTAGTTGAGCCTGTGTATTGCAGCCAACGGGTTCAACACGATGTTGATTAAAGGAACCGCTTAGTTGTCTTTGTCCGTCTTCCTCAACTACCAAGAAACTAGCATTATGTTTCTCCTCCAAATTCAACTTTTTGGGCTGAGCTTGAGTATCGATGGTAACAATTGCTTGTGCATCACAAGATTGATCTAAGGAACTACTTACTCGCCCATGTACTTTCCCATCATTGGTTTTCTCAGAATTGTGGACAATAAGTTGGTTTGGCACCTTAGCCTTGCAGTCATCACAAACCCATCTCACAAATTCATCTAAAGTATCTGGAATATCATCTAGGCAGTACCTGAAAGGTGGTAAAAGAGAGAAAAATGACAAAGAAATCAACAAACCAAAGGTTAAGAAAAAGGAACTAAATATTAATTTCAGCTTAAGAAATAGAAACTAAACCTTAATTTCAATGCCAACTTTCAAGAATCAAATAAAGAAAAAAGAAAATAAATGTAGTAAAAAACTGAAAAATAAATAAATGAATTCCAAATTCCTAGAGAACTTGAATCAATTACCGCACTCAAGTCCCATTTACAGAACAATGAATTGTTACTTTATAACATGCGGCCAAAATTGTTACCGCAATATTTTACACTCAAATCAACAATGAATTGTTTTGCTTTTCCAGCAAATTGAAATGCAAAACACAGAACATACAGAGTAATACAAGGTAAATTGCAAAAGTGTGTATGCTATATTTCTCATTCATTCTCCGGGTATAAGGATACTTTATAACATGTGGCCAAAATTGTTACTACAATATTTTACAATCAAACATAATGCCATTTTGAGTTTGCAGCAATAATGATAGGAAACACTGAAAGTCTGAAACAGTTCATTTAAAGAATAGAAAATTCAGGGTAATATTTCTAAAACCTATCACCAGAATAGATAGGTGATGGAGCTTACCGATGCACAGCAAATTCCAGACACTCGACACAGAAAACTAAAGCATTAGTGTATCCCCGGTCACCACATTGCAGGCATATAGTCACCTGAAGTAACAAGGAACATTCACACGCATAAAAGATTGGGTATTCAAACGCATAATGTAAACAAGAAACAAGGTTAGTAACTGAAAATATAAAAATCGAAATAACAATAGAACTTACATTTGCAGGAGGAATATTAGGGGAACTAACCATGGCTGTGAAGAAGAGTACGAACAAAAATAAATAAAATTGATGCAACCCACACCGCGAAGTCACGAACAATGCTGGAGCACCGTCTACCGTAGAGTTTACAAATTTTAATTGAAAATTAAGGCGTTTTTAGGCAGACAGTGATTGTGAAAGATTTATAAAAAAACAACTATTACCGAATTTCCTTTTCGGTCTCAAACCCTAATTGGCCATCAATCTATTATCTGTGTTTTTGAAAAAACTACTATTGCCGGATTTCATATTCCTTTACCCTTTTTCCCTCTAAAACCCTAAAAATGCAGTTTAATCCTATCCAGTGTAGAAGACGGACACGCGTGTGCCCAAATATGAAATATCCGATGATTATACACCTCAATGGCTGAACTTAGGGTGTGTTTGGAAATCCAAAAATTATTTTTTAAATTTCTACAGTTTAGTTAGGGGAAGAAAATTGAAGTCAATGAAAAATGTAATTATTATACTAAGGATTTGTGTCCACCTTGCAAGGTGGACTCATGCCCAAAACGACGCAGTTTTGCACATCTGGAATAATGGTGTCATTAGTAGTATCGTTTTCTAGTCAATAATATTTTTTTGTAAATATAGAGTTAAAAAATTGTGTTATAATATAATTGTGAATATAGAGTTTAAAAATTACAAATATAGAGTTTTATAATTGTAAATATTGAGTTATGGAATTGTGATTATAGAGTTCAAAAATTGTAAATATAGAATTCTGTAATTGTGAATGTAAAGTTCAAAAATTGTGTTATACTTTTGATTTACTTGTGAATATTGACTTCTGTAATTGTGAATATAGAGTTTTGTAACTATGAATATAGAATTTTTTAATTCTTAATATTGAGTTTTGTAATTGTGAATAGAGTTAATTACCAAAATGGTCCATTGACTATAGCAAAATTACAAATTTGGTCCTTGACTATTTTTTTAACTAATTAAGTCCCTCAACTTTAAAATTTTTAACCAATTTGGTCCTCCATTTGTTTGACTGTTAGTCAACCGTTAACTTGGGACCAAATTGGTAATTTGACTATAGTTAATGAATCATTTTATAATTAACTTTAGAGGTGGACAATTCGGTTTATTTGTCTCGAATCGAACCGAACAGAACTAGTTTGGTTCGGTAATATACTGAACAACCGAACGGTATTGGATTATTGTATACCGAACGGTTCGATAAAAAATCGACCCGAATTGTTCGGTAAAAAATTGAACTGAACCAAATACTGTTTGATTTTTAAAAAAAAAATATAATAATAATAATAATAATAATAATAATAATAAATAAATAAATAAATAAATAAATAAAAAGTAAATCCAAATCCCTTGCTGCTTGCTCTGCCGTTCAGCTCATATTCTCACGGGTATTTCTCGTAAATGTTTTATTTGATTTATTTATGGTTTGTTATCAAAAGTTCTATATTATGTGTTATGGTATTTACATAGTCCATATCCAAAGTCTAATATATATCAAAATAGCAATCCAAAGTTCAAACAGTATTCGGTTCGGTTCGATTTTCACCGAACAATTCAGTTCGGTTTAAGTTTTTACCGAACCGTTCAGTATACAAGAGTCTATTACCGTTCGGTTGTTCAGTATATTACCGAATCTAACTAGCTTGCTACGGTTCGGTTTGAGAAAACTTGGTATTTAATTATTTATCCCACTTGAGTGGTATACAATATGTATCTAAGAGAAGGCAACCCCTAATCAAGTTGTTCAAATAATTGGTTTCATAATTACAAGATTTAAAGCTCAACTCAATGAGATTATATCTATTTATAGCCTTCTTAGTTGAGCCAATTAACAATGAGCAAGCTAGACTAGCTAGTTGACCTCTTTGTAGTTCTTTGCCAACTAGAATTACAAAACAAATTTCTTCTAAGATATATATTTGAATAGCAACACATATTTCCTCGTAAAACAAAGTAGGTCTTTGAGAACTTAACAAAAACTTGTGTGAGATTGTCTCATAAGTTTCAATCCTCAAGACATGTCTAATCTTTAATTAATGAGGTCAAAGATCTGACCCATTAATTAAAAAATTAACCAATTAATCAAATATCCGACTCGCTTCAAAAATTGAAATCTATAAAACGGTCTCACACGTACCAGTGTTACCCTAAGTGCTTAGATTTCATTCATGACTTCTTTGATGGGCCGACATTAACGTGAAGAACTAATATATGGTCCAATAAACCCAATAAAGTCTTATTCCAACTTTACATTTTGATATTTTTTTTTTTAATAATGGCCATATTTAATTAATTAAAGAGAAAATGGTCAAATAGACCTCTAAACTTTACAAGAAAAGTCAATTAGTCTCTTGAACTTTTGAAAAGTTCAATTAAACACATAAACTCATCATTTTAGTGCATCCCACCCCTTGATCCGGTTAACCACCCGATAGCATCCGGTCAAAGCTTATGCGGCAGTTGACTTTTCAATATTATTAATATATGATTTGCCACGTAAGCAAAGTGTTATGTAACATTAATTTGAAAGATGATATATAATTACAACCTTAGCAATATTATGTAACATCTGGACAATTCGCAGAGCCGTGGTTGAATCCAAACCGGATGTTGGTTCATCCAAGAACAGAAGTGATGGGTTTAGCAGAATTTCATTGCCAATGCAGACTCGTTTCCTTTCACCTCCAGATATTCCCCTGATAAGTGCCCCTCCAATTATTGTGTTCTGGCACCTGAAAATCATTGTCCTTAATAAATTTCTTTGCCTTGACAGTTGACACCATTCTTGGGAAAGTGACAGACAGCAAAATTAATAACCTTAACAAAACTGAAGCCTCATAGGAGTTATTTTGAATATGATAGGATAAGATCGAATGAATAATACGCGCCATGCACGTTAGAGTCTGATGAATTTTTAAAGAATACTACAATAACTGCAGATTGAGAATAAACTTGGCAATCTAGAACAGCATATCATACAGATTTTTAGTCCCCTTAATTAGTTTCTAGAACAGCATTATATTGTTAGTACTAGAACATGGACCACCAGCCTGCACAGTGGTAAGACGACTCTTAAAGTTTTTTTTTTTTTTTTTTCTAAAGATTACACACCGCCCTATATATTCTTAAGTCAATAATATTTGTTCTTGAAAAGGGGGTTTTGATTGAGTGGTCAGAAGTTTGTTCATTCACAGAAGAAAAAATCTGTATGAGACCAATTTTACAAAGTCTCAACAACTTGTATAGTTGTATGCCTTCTTCCCTTTTACATGTTACTTCATTATTGGAGTTTATCATTCACTACTTCCCATATAATATTCTTATTTCTCAATATCAATATGATATAATTGTCCCAAAATAAGTGACCAAGTAAGTGAAGTATGATAGATTCTCGTAATAAAATGTCACGAATTTAACTTTTATCAACATCCTTTAGTCGAATTTTACTCAATGCACACAATCAGATAGTAATTATTGTAAATTTCCAATTACTCGATGTAACTTTTATGCTTTAAAAAAGTTTGAACCAATACACACGAATTGAACACGACATTAATTTCTAGTGTTAGGATCAGATATAAAAAATCAGAATAAATTCATGGAACGTTCCATGAATTGGTATACCTGATGTATACATACTATACCTAGCCAAAACTATGTAGCTTGACCCCAAAGAAGCGTTATGCTTAAAGTAGCTCGAGAGAATGTAATATGTTTGTTGAGGAAATGAAGGTTGAAAATTTTGAAACGGGCAGCTGCTGACCTGGCCAGAATTCAAGCCACATAATTTGCCTCAGTCTGTATGGACTATATAGTTTGAGATGAGTAAATCTAATTAAGGTTGCGAAGTTGGCATAAATAAAATTAGAGAAAAAAATGAGCAATATATTCATAATGGTCTGTTTGGTAAAATAGTTAGCTTATAGGTCAATTTTGGTTTATTTGACGACTATTAGTTGTCTGGCTTGGTCAATATAAGTGTTTGATTAATTAGCTTGTTGTATTTCAAAATGCTAAAATTTAAAAATCTACTCAAAGCAACTTTTTCAATTAGCTTTTTGAGAAATGAAATTATACCAAACAGCTATCAGCTTACAGCTAATTTACCAAACACTTTTCTACAATCAAATAATGTTATCAACTAATTATACTCTCTAATAACCCAATCAGCTAACAGTCATTTACTAAACAGGGTCAATATCTACCTTCAACTACTAACCGGGAGTGCGTACGGTGTAAATATCACTTATATGTAGTAAAATGCAAACTACACATGCAAGAGAGCTAAATGATACTAAGAAGACCTTGTACAATGATTGAAAGTGCATGTGACAATAATCGAATCCGTGACTCTAATACGAGAATTATGTGCCACTCACTAACTTGATCACCAACCAAACACACCCTTAATGTACTAAAATATTATAATGCATGCATATCATGGTTAACAACATGTATGATGTAAAATGTTCATAATATTTGTTAATATTACTTTATTGATAAAATAATAATTTTTTAAAAGGTGATGTGAAAGTAGGACAATTTTTAAAGGGTGAATTGCAGTCTAAGTTTGTAATGTTGTGTTGGGGATTGTGGGGGAGCAGGAATGACAGTGTTTGGAGGGGTTTGCGTTTTAATGGTGAAGCTGTTCACCATGAAACTTTAGCTTACTGGACTAATTGGAAACAAGTGAGCATATGTGAAAGGGATGCTGATGGGGCACAATCTGGTGCTGTTGCTTGGAAACTGCCAACGATGGGAAGAGTCAAGTTGAACACGGATGCCGCGTGAAGGGCAAAATGTAATGGGGCTCGGTTGGGTGTTACGAGATGACGGGGGCTTGTTCTTGGCTGTTCGGAGTGTTCGTATCGTAGGACGGCACACCGTTGTACAGGCGGAGATGCTTTGCTTGAGAGAGGCGCTAACGTGGTTCAGAGACACGGAAATAGGGGATGTTGACGTTGAGACTGATTCATAATTATGTTACTATGCTCTAAATTTTAGTCCTTTCTTTTCTACATTTGATTTTTTAGTAGATGATGTAAAGCATGTAGCCTAAGCGGAGTTAGCTTTGGTTATGTTAGGCGATATGCGAATCGCTGTCCACTCTTTAGCTCGGGGTGGCAGGTTGCGAGGAGTGGCTTGATACGCCTCTTTGTTATCTTGTTCTGATTCTTTTAGCGGATGCAATGAATTAAGTGGTTTCTTCCAAAAAAAAAAAAAAAAGTTTGAAAGTAAAAGAAGATTTGATGGGTACAGTGGAAACAAGGTCCACCTTGCAAGGTGAATGCTGATCCTAAATTATATATTTTTAGTATTGAAAGTGTGAACATCTAGAATATAAATTGTGTTATGAACAGATACTACATTGTAATTGAGTCAGTAGCATTCAAAAAAAAAAAAAAGAATATAAATTGTGTTTCTAAGTTTTGAATTTGTGAATACAATACAGGTCATCACAAATTGTGTATCTTTGGACCCAGCTCCACCTTATAAGGTGCATCCGATTCCACAGAATAATTTGCTACGGACGACGGCAAATTATGCCGTGGAACCGTGTCTACTTGCAAGGTGGACACGGTTCCAAAACGGCATCGTTTTGGTGGAAAACGACGCCGTGTCAATTAAAAAAAATTGTTTTCTTTTTTTCATTAACGGCGTTTGTCATCAAGAAGTCTATGTTCATAATTACTGAACTCTATGTTTATAAATTATAATGATAAAACTCTATGTTCATAATTTTTGAACTTCATATTCACAATTATTGAACTCTATATTGTATAGAACTTTATGTTCATAATTTTTTAACTCTAGAAGTCTATGTTCATAATTATTAAACTCTATGTTCATAATTATAAACTCTATGTTCATAGTTTTTGAATTTCATATTCACAATTATTGAAGTTTATATTCACAATTACAGGACTCTATCTTTATAATTATAGAACTCTACGTTCACAATTACAGAACTCTATGTCGTAATTATAGATCTAAAATAGTCCTTGATTATAGTGATTTTTCTCAATTTCGTCTTAAACGGCTTTGATGACCAAATATCGTCCCAGACTTTTGTATTTTTACTCATTATAGTCGTCCTTTTATTAATCCGTTAAGTTGGTGTTAAATAGAGGGTCAATTATGTAATATCAATACTTTCTTTCCATTCTAGTCGTCCTTTTAGTTTTTCTTTTAAGAAAATATTTTACAAACAATGATAAATAAAATCTTTAAAGTTATAGTACCACATGTGTACATCTAGACATTAGCTATTAATTTGAGCAATTATTTGCATAAATTCAAGCAATGATAACATCAAAATACTTAAACGATCCCAACCATATATTTAATTGCACTACTTAAACGATTCAAACCATATATTTAATTGCACTATATAATATTTGATGTTTAATTTAAATAATTATATATCTATTCAAATATTCTTAATATATTACAACAAATCTGATGCACGAGTGAAAATACTAGTGGAAGAAACAAAATCTTTCTATACCACTTCTTAGTTCTCCCCCTTCCCTCACAACAACCTTCCTTCATATTTTCTTGAAACATACATTTTTAAAACATGTATGCACAACAATCTGCAAATTATTGTATGGACCAGGTCCACATAATGTTATGTGGACCATAATAAAATGTACATTTTTAATATATTAAATGTACATTATTTTTGTACTGAATGTACATTATAAAATATAATGTACACTTATAATAAAAATAATGTACATTTCCTGAACATAATGTACATATGTACATTATTTTTGTACTGAATGTACATTATTTTTGTACTAAATGTACATTATTTTACAGTTGACAAAATATGATTCACACAACTTGTGTGGACCATGGTCCATACAATAATGATTGACAACAATCACAACAGGACACCCATCATTCTGAGCTCGCCCAAATACGAGAAAACAATGGGAAATTGAACAAAAGAATGAAGAGAAGAAAGGGGGCAATGAATAAAGTTTTTGAAGGATCCCTCCACCGTCGCCCAGGATCTCTGTACAAACAGCAGGCGATGAAGTTTCTGAAGCCCCTTGAGGCCGTGGGCGGTGCCTCCGGCGAGCCGGACATACAAATGGCACACATGAGGGTAGCCCAATCGCCTTATTTGCCGCTGTTGAACGGAAACCTTCCCAAGTAGAATTCCGGGATAATGCTGACCCCTAGGCTCCATATATCGCCAGCGTAGTCATTGTACTGGTCATGATTCAGATCGGAGTTGATCCTCTCGGGGCTCATGTAGGCAATCGAGAGGCCGGAGAGAATTTGGCGGGTGAGATCCGCTAAGGAGGGTGACGGCAAACGGATAACCGCCGGCCGTCTGGGGCGGAACTAAAAAGTACACTTCACTTCTCGATCAATGATAAAATATTAGAAAAATATTTTTTGAAAAATTGGCCGCCATTATATTAGTTCCATTCCATTAATAAACTTAAATTCGAAAACGAAACTTTATTACCAAGGTATGTACAAAAAATAAAAATATTATTTTCAACGATAAAAATAATATTTAATGTGATACATAAGGATTGATTGTCTATTGAACTTTTAGTATATATATATATATATATATATATATATATATATATATATATATATAAAGAGAGAGAGAACGTATATGAGTATTCAAGAAATTTATGGAACTTATTGTAAAACTTGATAAGAATAGAGGCAAAATTTTTATGATTAGACAAATGGAAAAAGT